GATAGATAGATAGATGATAGATAGATAGATAGATAGATAGATAGATAGATAGATAGATAGATAGATAGATAGATAGACAGACAGACAGACAGACAATACAATACAATACAATACACATATACATACTTATAGAGTATGTATGTGTAGCTCAGGATTGAACTGTGGAGTCCTTGGTGCCCTCTGATCTTGCAAACATTTCATTGCTCAACCAGGTGACATCATCCCTTGGAACCAACAGGTGAACCTTGTCAGATCTCAAAAAGGCCAAAAGAATTAATACTTGAATGGAGCATCATTTGGGAATTCCAGGACCTTTGGGAAGGTTAGGAAGACAAAAGGCATCCAAGAAAACGTCAATGCCAAATCCTTTCTATAAGGCTCCTAAGAAAATCTCATTCTGATTGTTCTTGATTCAAGAGAATCTTTACTTCTAACAAATAACTGTGTTGTGGCTATGCTTTTTTTTTTTTTACAAATAACTCTAGTAAGAGATACATTCAAGGTTATTTCTGATCTGAGGGTTTTGAGATTAGCACATCAAACTCTACTGTACTTTAGAAACTTTAGGATAATACTAGATTAAGTAGCTTATAAAAAGGAATGTAAGATCTTATCATTCTCTGAGAATAAGGTAGCAGCAGCGTGAATAGGTTGAATTATCTGCTGATCGCTAAGGACCAGGTTTTGTTTTTGTAGAAGGCTCTTAACATCATGAAAAAATTAAGTAGTTGTCCGAGAGGGCAAGATCCTTGCAGGGATCATATCTACATGCACACATACCTACATATATCAAATGGGAAGAGGCAACTCTCTCGGGTTCAGGGTCTGCTACCTGTTCCCCTGACCAGATTGAGAGACGTAGGTGATATCACTAGGAGAGTGGAAACGTCTCTCCAGATGAAACTGGGGCAATTGTCTTTGTTTAATTTTGCAGTCCAGAAGGTTAAGAGTGGAAATAAGAATAGAAAGCTTTTAGGAGCAATTCGCTACTTTTTCCACTTGTAAAAAGAATGCATCAATCCTTCTCATAATTGCTTGACCTTTTACCACCCAAAGAGAAGTAGTCTGTGATTTGGGTTCATCTAGAGATGCTTGGAGAGATCCTTAAACTTTATAATAGGAATGGGTGGCCTCCTAAAGGCTTTCTGCTATCAACCCCATCTTCAGTTTTGAAAGAAAATAGGACTGTGGTGCTGAAAATTAGCCATTTTGCCCCTGAATTTCAACAACTCAATTTTGGATCTAAATAGGGTGTTCAGAGGTTAGTCTGCCCTAAAAGGAAAGAATGTAGAAAACACTATTCAATCCCACTTCCTTCTTTTAGTACTTCTATTCTGCAACACAAGAGGCCATATTTTAGTCTCTCAAAGCCCTAACACTAAGAATTAGGAACTTGTTGAAAGCTATTCCTTAAAAAAAAATAGATAGGTCAACACTTGAATGAAAGAAAGCTCTTTCTGTAGGCACGTATCAGTCTCCAAAGCTATTATATGTCTATAAGCTTTCAGGTTTTCTAGGTCAGTGATGTTGCCTAGATACAGCTCTTAAAATATTTAACAAGAAAAAATATGGCACACAAACCTTGGCACAAGTGCTTCTTATGTGAGAAATCTTTTTTTGCTATATTATTAAGCCCTTCTACTCGGAAGGAAAAAATAACAAACAAATGAAACCCGCACACCTCTACCAAGATGAATTGAAATTGTGTTTGGTTTGTGTTAGCAGCAGTTTTTATTTAAGGTAAAAAATTGTAGAAGAGATAAAAATAACTTTAAACTGTTTTTTTCCACCTGACAGGGGAAACATGCAAGACAGCATATCGTTTCCTTTCCTTGCCTATATGCTGTCCCAACAGCATGTATTTTAGAAACTTTAGGATGACTTTAGAATTTCTTTAGAAAACTTTAGAATTTCCACATTTCACAATCATAATTCTGCTAATGATGAAGCTTATAGCCTCAAAATGTTTGAAGGACACCAAGTGGGGCAAAAGACACCTGTTGCAGAAGAAGTCACACACTAGGCAAAGGAAGTTTGTGGGCAGGGCAAGCATAATGTGGATGGGCCGGGCAAGCGGGCAAGCAGCAACTGGGTGGGTGAAAGGAGCAAGCGGGGGGCAGGCCAGGGGAGGGAGCATTCTGGTACGGGGCCTCTGGAAGATCAGGTACAGGAAGGCATGCTAAATTTCACCAACCGGTATGCCCATACCAGTGCATACTGGCTTAAATCCACCATGATGCTTAGTTCCTGTAACCGTTCTTCATATGTTTTAGTCTAATTGTCAAATGGGACCATTGGATTCTGTAATCAGAAAACAAATTGTGCCAGTCTTCCAGCAGATATAGTAATTTAGTACTTTGACCTGTGCAGCTTTGGGCAGAAGCTTCATTCACTTTGCAAACTATTTCTTCAATTAGTTTTTTTTGCTTACAATCCTTATAGTTATGCTGTAACAAGGGGTCCCCAATCCCTGGGCTGCAGCCCACTACCAGGCCATTCAGAACAAGGCCATAGAAGAGGTGGGTAAGTGTGCATGCACACATTACTCAAACAGTGAGAAAGCAAATGTGTGTATGCTCCATAGGGAACTCTGTGTTATAATCCATGCCTATTATAGCTAATAGTTAGGAATAAAAAATCTGGCTATTCAGAACATGAATATACTCAAGTATTGGTGGGGAAATAATTAGGTACTCCATGGCTATAAAGTGGCCTATTTATGGGATTCCAAGATTCCAAGCGTCAATCATCCATTTACAGAATTAAAAAAATCCACCAAAAGTATCTTCTGCAACCAAGGACAAGTTGTTGCAAAATAAAGGACCTGAAACTTGACAGGGGAGTTAACTTTATCTGTATCAAGAACTGAAATCTCCAAGTCTTCCAGGAACCATCTCTAGGAAAGTATACCAATGATTACCAAAATGTCTGTAAGGAAGAGCTTCTGTTTGAAGTGGTCAAGGAATGAATGTAGTGATGAGATTCAAAAATTTTTACTACCGGTTCTGTGGGTGTGGCTTGGTGGGCATGGCAGGAGCAGGATACTGTAAAATCTCCATTTCCTCAATTGGAACTTGGGAGGCAGAGAATAGATGGAGACGGAGCCAGTCAGAGGTGGTATTTACTGGTTCTCCGAACTAATCAAAATTTCCACTACCCATTCTCCAGAACTAGTCAGAACCTGCTGAATAGCACATCTGAATGAGTGATATCACTCACCAGAGCTGGAAGTCTCCTGCTTGACAAAATGTATAATGAATAAGGCATTTCATCATTCTAGGAAAAGAAAAGGAGTCAGGCCAATATTTTTAAAAGCATTTATAGATATCTAAGGCTGAATAAACATTTTTTTTAAAGAGAGTTGCTTGGGTTGTTTTGGTGACAGACCAAAAAGGCACACATTCTTAAGTTAGGTCAGTTTCCTGACTGCTCAGATGGACATTCATCTCCTTAAATTGAAGCTATTAACACCAAGTAGGAGAAACCAAGACTAACTTCCTCATTGTTGCTGCTACTGCTTTGTTCTGAATCCCTATTCTTTTTATTGCCTTGTAAGTAGGACAGCAAAAATAAAGAGAACTATAATAGGACCCCATTTTGATATATCTATAAGTATATCTATATCTATATATCACTATTCCTAGAAGTTTATGTAAAGTTTTGGAAGCCTTTTGTTTGTTAAAGTGGGAGATGAAAATGCTCAAAATAAAAATATGTGAAAACTCAAGATCTGCAGCATTTATTTATTACTTACTATTGAATTTTGTATGTTTCCCAATTCATTATACTTTTTAGCTCATAACCCCACTGGAGGGAGGCCAAGAAGGGGCAGCATCTCATCAGACCAAGGGGGAGGCAACAGATCCCTCGCAGGTTGGAGATTTGCCCTCTGAATTGGAATAGGGGCAGCAGCATGGCAACATGGCTGCACAAGAAGCTTGCTTCCAGCCAAAGCAACTGAACAGGAGTGTGAGGATGAGATGAAAGACCGGTAAGAAAATTTATCTAACCAACAGTCATAAATAAAAATTTGGAAAAGGCAAAGAATCTTGAAAGCAAAAATAACATTGATGGACAGATCGGGATTTTTGCAAAAGAAAGAAAGAGAGAAAGAAAGAAAGAAAGAAAGAAAGAAAGAAAGAAAGAAAGAAAGAAATGGAAAATGGAGGGTTGAAACACTAGCCCCCCTCCCAAAAGCCATTTGTTTGAAACAATTCAGACAGAAAGAGAGAAAGCACAGAAGTGACCAAGCCACTGAAACACTAACTTTAAATTTGGTTTTGGACTTGAAAAGATTGTGTTTTTAAAGGAGTCTAGGAGCGTGAAGATTTGTTTCATCCGAGTGTCTTTTAACTAACATATTTAAAGGAACTCCAATTAATGAGAGGTGGAATGTAACAAGGGAGAAAGATCAAGAAAAAAGCACTATTTCCTTACTGACAACTAAAAACCTAAACTTGCCTGTGTGGGAAATTTTAATTAATCAACTGCCATAAATCAGAACTTGGAAAAGTAGGAGGGAAGTGAAACATA